AGAGACACACAGACAGACACACAGACAGACACACAGACACACACACAGACACAGACACAGACACACAGACACACAGACACACAGACACACAGACAGACAGACAGACAGACAGACAGACAGACGCACGCACGCACGCACGCACGCACGCACGCACGCACGCACGCACGCACGCACGCACGCACGCACGCACGCACGCACGCACACACACACACACACTCTTACACTCGAGCAGATGCTCACACGCATTTATGTTGATAGAGACCATCTACATAAATAGACATGGACTCAGGCAAGCGCGTAGAATGAGTAGACAAGCAGATGACTCACCAAGATGCATAGTTACACACAGCAATTCAACACAAGCCACACACATTTTGTGTCAGCAAGCCGATGCCGAGGCCGCCCCAGAGAATGAGACGAACGAGGGCAACGAGGCCAATGAGGTCGAGGTGCCAGCACCGGCAGCAGCGGTGCCAGCGGAAGTGTCAACAGGCCGGGTGCAAGCCAGGTACTACGCCCGAGTGCCTTTAGATCTTCGGCTTCATCGTGGAGCGTTCAGAGTTTAGTAAAAGGTCCTTTCAACAGGGAGCTCCCCGGCCCCTAAACCCTAAACCCTAAAGCCCTAAAGCCTTCCTTAAAGCCTATACCCGAAACCCCGAAACCCTAAAACCCTAAAGCACTAAACCCTAAACCCCTGAAGCCCAAACCCGAAGCCCCCAAAGCCGCCAAAGCCCAAAACCCTAAACCCGAAACCCCTAAAGCCTAAACCCGAAACTGAGACTATATCATACTATACTTTATCATACTTTATTATACTATATTAGACTCTATTTGACCATACTACCCTATATTATACTATATTATACTATATTATACTATATTATACTATATTTTACTATATTTTACTATATTTTAACTACATTTTACTAGAAGACTCGAAGATGCCAAAGTACCTCGGTGAGGTCCATCGGAGCGCCTCCCGCCTCGCCCCAAGGGGGGCGGAGTCTACAAAGCAGGATGTCGAGATACCGATTAAATATAGTAGAATATAGTAGAATATACTGTAGTGTAATATATGATAGTATAGTATAGTATAGTAAAGTATAATAAAGTATAGTAAAGTATAGTGAAGTATAGTAAAGTATAGTATAGTAAAGTATAGTATAGTAAAGTATAGTAAAGTATAGTATAGTACAGCATAATAAAGTATAGTATGATATAGTATGATACAGGCAACAGCAGTTCTGCAGACGTTTAAGAAGACTCCCGTGATTTCGGGTTCTTCAACGTACTCTCTGATCGCCCTCAACCCTACACCCTAAACCCTAAACCCTAAACCCTAAACCAAAAAAAACCTAAACCCTAAACAAAAAAAACCTAAACCCTAAGCCCAAGGCTGCAGCTTAGCCGCCTGCCGGCTGACAAGCTTCTGAAGGTCCACGAGGCCCGACGCAGCCTTCGGAACATCTTCCTCTTGGTTAGGCTTTTAGGGTTTTTAGGGTTTTAGGGTTTTAGGGTTTAGGGTTTAGGGTACACGTTGCCCTGGAAGACATAGTAAGCCCCCCTGCGCCCCTAAACCTTTCAAAAATTCCTACTGAAGAGATCTGCCACTGTAAACCCTAAACCCTAAACTCTAAACCCTAAACCGTGTCCAAGGCGCTGATGCAACTCCAAGAGGTACGCAGGGATTCCATGGCCCCAGTGAGTCCTGGGTTTGGGGTTGCATAAGGTTTGGGGGTTCGGGGTTTGGTGTTTGGTGTTTGGGGGTTTTCGCACTTGGCATTAGGGTTTGCAGTCTGCAGTCTTTGTGTGGGTTTTGGTTCTACGGTTTAAGAGGTTTCGGGTTTAAGGTTTCTAGCTCTCTCCCAATGGAGTAGCGGGTGCTGCTTGGCGGTGTGTCGGGGTTAGCGCCCCTCTTGATGTTGGCAGCAGCAGCATCATCTTGACTATTCTGCTGCATTATTTGGCGTCGGGAGGGGTGGCGGGAGGCTAGGGCTCTCAATGTTAAGATCACGTGCGCTTTGCTGTGGGTTCTTATGTAGAGGATCCTACTACTCCAGCTCTTTCAGAACTGGAGATCAATCCAAGAGTCACAAGCAGAGCTTGCCAGTGTAGGTTTTAGGGTTGAAGCCTGTAACAGAATGGAACCTACTTCAATAGAGTTCGTTCACAGTGTTTCTAGCATAGGGTAATTCTGCAACTACCCCGGGCATCCGGTATAGGTTGTCGATCGCAATTTCTACCACGGAAAGGCCCATGGAGATCCGTCCACCCGGAGTCCACCCCAAACCAAACGAGGCCGCATTCGAAGAACTCGAACTCGGAACTTCCCAGAAATCTTCAATGACCTTAAACTTCAAGGCTTAGGCCTCAGCTTTGAGCTTCATACTCTTAGAGATCTTAGGAGACGGCAAGATGTCCCAGGTCTGAACCTCCCCAATCCAGCTCCGAACGAGTATGGACCGTCAACCCCCCCGGAAGTCTGCTACAAAGAGCCTTGAAGGTCCATAAAACGAGGTGCAAAGCAGTTTACATCAATGTAGACACTCTGTATCAGCCCTTCTACCATCTCACACTAGAGACGCCTCTATGCACGTACACGTTACAGATGAACATACACGACCTACACAATACCCTATAGAATGTCTGTGCCCCCCTTCCGAACCTACTTACAACAAGACCGAAACCTCTGAAGCCTTAAAGCGGTTTAGGTCTTGGAGTTTAAAGATCTGACACCCCTCTGAATACACTCACCTTCATTCAAATTCAAGGCCGGCCTGAGCGAAGTCCCCGACTTGGCGGGGCTGTCGAAGGTGGCCGGGGCCACAGAAAAAGCTCTCGCGGATTGCATCGGCGGGTCGTCGTGGTCGTGGTCGCGGTCGTCGTCGTTGTCGTCGTGGTGCAACTACGATGGCTACTTCCCTGGATGCCCTAGATGTCCTAGTATTCAGGAATGGCGGCAGGTGGAACTGCAAGCAAAAGTCGTTAGCAGCAACTACATTTGTATAGTTCAGGCTGCCACTTGTAATGCGAGTAGCAGGAGAATTGACGCTAGTGCTGCTACAGATAAACGTTAACATTAAAAGTATAAGGAGATCATAGGTATAGTAGTGATGATGACCTCGACAGAGCCGCAGTCGCCAGAGCCCAGGTGAAAAAGAAGACCGACGCTGGCAACAATGCGCGCCTGCCGTTTGAGGACCTAGTTGGCAGACCGTGAAGGGTCTCTCATTGATTTATCACCGAGCTGAGGGTAGGTCAACATCCAAACGTCGCAACCTGAGGACCTCACATCTGAATACATGGGCATGACCTTGTGGGCGTGGACACCTAAGCGTCTCTGACTCAGCAACGACGGAAGTGCTCAATTTTTTCGGTTTGTAGCACAGTGGCTCCTTCACCACCAGCGCTCGCTTGTTGAGGTACCAGTGCTACAGAGTTTATTCTTGCTGTCTGCTACTAGTCCTAGTGCGTGTAGTACTGGTACTCGTACTAGTACCAGTATACCATAATTAATACTAGTTTTCCAGTATGCCAGTATACCCCGTATTCCAGCATACCAGCATACCAGCATAGCAGCATACCAGTACCAGTACCAGTACCACCACTAGTACGACTGCTGACTCCTGCTGCTGCTGCTGCTGCTACTACTACTACTACTACTACTGGTTACTAGTTCCACCACCACCACCACCACCACACCACCACCACCACCACCACCACCACCTCCTCCACCACCACCCCCACCACCCCCACCACCACCACCACCACCACAACCGCCACTACTACGATGATGAAGACGACCCATATACAGCTTCTTCGAGGAAGATACCACTAGCAGTGCGGCCTGCAGTAGCTCTACGGCAGCGGTGACCATGACGACGACGAGGAGTACTACCACCGCCGCCATCACCACAGCCGCCGCCATAGCTACCGCCACCACCGCCACCGCCGCCACCGCCGCCACCGCCGCCACCGCCGCCACCGCCACCACCGCCACCACCACCAACACCACTGCTGCCATCACCACCACCACTATCACCACCACCACCACCGCCACTACCAGCAGCACCACCGCCACAATCCGTTCCATTCCCAACACCGGCACAGCCGCCACGGCTTTCACGATCATCCTCAGTTTGACAGTCACCCCACACCATCATGAATCATAAGCGACCTTGCTATGATGATGATGACGACGATGATGATGTTGTTGTTGGTGGTGGCGGTGATGATCGCGGTGCCGACGAGAAAAACGATCCGAATGATAACTATCATCCCTGCCATCGCCATTACTGACATCACCACATCATCATGACGATCATCGGCATCATCTCTTGGTGATCACCACCACTGCCACCACCCTCATGTGCGTCAGCATCACCGACAGCATCATTTCCATCAGCCTCCCCATATCCATCACTGTCACACGCCCGCTGCTGTACACCCTAAACCCTAAACCCTAAACCCTCTGTATCGCCAATGCAACTGCCAGGCTGGTTTGACAACATTAACGGCAGTGGCAAGGCTGCAGGAGCCAAGTCCGAGGCAAGCGAGAGCAATCTCACTGCGTAGCAGCAGGGCTATAGTCTAGTCTAGTCTAGTAGTCTGGTACGGTATAGTGGGATTGGGGTTCAAACGGTTTACTGATTCTTGGGGTTAGTGACTTAATAAACTCAGCTTGTACTTGCTACTTCCAAGTATATGTGTCGTTCTGTGTCCTTTGCCCCTTTGTTAGGTTGTTACCATCCCTGAGCCTGCCCCCCGTAGTCCCTGATACCACAGGCAAGCCCTTTTTTTAAGAACTTAGTGTACGATCCATGAAGCTCCAGAGCCCTAAAACCGTAGCTTTCCCACATCTCTAATCCTTGAACCCCAAAAAGCCCCTACACCCCAAAAGTCTCCTAGAGCCCCCTTTTTTTAAGGGGGGTTCAAGGGGTCTCTGCAAGGCGACGGAAGTCCAAGCGGAAGACGCCCTCCCGCCGGCAGAAGCCCCAGAGTTGACGAACGAGCGTTGACATGGTATGGTAGGGTTTAGGGCTTAAGGGTTTTAAAGGGTTTGAGGGTTTAGGGTTTTAGGGTTTAGGGTTTCGGGTTGCTGACATACTGTTGGTAGTTTCCAACAATAAGGGGTACCTTATTTTGGGGTCCTTATAATTAGGATCCTACTATTTAAGGTACTATACTGTTGATGATATAAATCCTGCATTACCTTAAGGAACCTAAACTAAGGGAGCTATGGTATATTCCTTCATTATGGGTAGTGCAGGATTTATTTCACCAACCGTAGTATAGTAGGGTTTAGACTTTAGGGTTCAGGGTTTGGGGTGTAGGGTTTAGGGCTTAGGCTTTCGAGTTTAGGGTCCAGGGTTTGGGGTGTAGGGTGTAGGGTTTAGGGTTTAATTTAAGGTATGCCATGGTATGCTATGCTATGCTATGCTATGCTATGCTATGCTATGCTATGCTATGCTATGCTATGCTATGCTATGCTATGCTATAAGATATATAATATCAAACCATACCATACCATACCATAACAGACTATACGATACGATGCTATACGAGACTATACTAAAGTATTCTTTGCTCTGCTCTGCTTGCTATGCCATACTATGCTACACTACACTACACTACACTACACTACACTACACTACACTACACTACACTACACTACACTACACTACACTACACTACACTACACTACACTACACTACACTTCGCAACGCGACACCACACTACACTACACTACACTACACTACACTACACTACACTACACTACACTACACTACACTACACTACACTACACTACACTGCATTGC